TTTCAGGTCATACAATGATTTTTTTTTTTTTTTTAGGTCATACAATGATGGTTTTAATTAACTTCCTGTGTTAGCAAAAATTGTTATGGAGCAAATCAGTATGCTTTCCCATTGTTTAACCAATTATGAGGAATACCAGTGTTACACCAAAACCTGGTAAACTTATTTGATTTATTTATATTTATTTATATTTGGAATTTACAGTGTTAAACACTATGGAATATTTCATGAATCTTTGTGGTGCCAAACCAATAATAAAGTCAGAAACTTAATTTATGTTGACATCTACTGGTTATTCCTAAAACTTTAGAAGAATGGAAAATGATGGAAATGTGATTGCTACTTGGACACTGTCGCCAGGATGTGACGCTACGCGTCGCTCTGGCAACGGGACTCCAAACAGCCCCGTTGCAAGAGCGACGCATAGCGTCACATCCTGGCGACAGTGGTGCGACGCGTATCGCTGTCCCCCGTGGCAGGGATCCTGTGAAGACGCACAGATCCCCCGCCGTGGCTTGGCAGCCCTAGCTCATCTGTGGATACTTGAATCCAGAGAATGGAGCCATGAACAGACAAGACAGATATTTCTGCAAATCTGAGATCTGAAATTATTCTGAAATTAAATTTAATCCGATAATAGAAGCAGTGCCTGTAGCTTTAAGAAACAAAAGCCCTCAGTGGCAATTGCTAGGCAACCACAACAGAATTGCCAGCCTTCCAGCCATGGTTTCTGTCAATAAAAGCTGGGTGGAGGGGACAGAGCCCTTTTGGGTCTTTGAGGGAGGACTCATGGGGTGACTTGCACCTGACTTGCATGACTAGGTCTCCCAGATCCTAGTTCAAAACTCGCAAGTGTCAAATGTAAGGCTTTGGGGGCCAGAATCAGCCCATCCAGGGTTCTTATCCTGCCCATGAGCAACTGGTGTGAGGAAGGGAACAGGTGGCTGCTGGGAGGGGGAGCCACTCTGATTGTGACTTCAGCATGGTGGAACAAACTCATCTACAGCAGTCAAGCAGAACCCCTTTGCTTCAGTGGCAGCCTCACTGGTAAGTTGGGAGCCACCGCAGCTGCATCCATGTCAGCTCAGGGTTCCAAAGTGAGGTTGCGTGCCTCTCTGCTTGGCCTGCAGCTCCAGGGGTGCTGTCCCAGATGGCCATGGAGATTGGTGTTTGCATGTGGCAGTTTGCAGACAGTCCTCTGTTGGGGCCTGCTGGTGGCCAGTGCTGCTGCCATATTCGCATCCCCCCATGCAGCAGGTGTGCTTTGGCCCATGGGTTTGACAACTTCTTTGGTGGTTTCTTCCACACATCGGGGGCTTGCAACCCCCAGCCTCTTCACATTTTTATCCTGGGGCCCTGGGCATTGGTGGCGGGAGTGGGCTAGGGAAGGGGTTTGCCCCCCCTCCAGGGAACGAGAGGCTGCTTGAAGGGGGGAGCTGCACCACTGGCTCTCCAGTCCACTCATGCATGTTTTTTCCCTACACTCCCCCCAGCCCATGGGGTCTTGCAGTGAGGACACACCCACTCAGAGCTTACTAGCTGCTGTCCATTTTATGGCACACACGGCCTGGCCCGACAAAGTCACATTTATATCAGATCTGTCCTTCATAACAAATGAGTTTGACAACTTTGCTCTAGCTATTACACCACACTGGATTTCCATGATATTTTACTGACTTTGTTTTTACTGGTTATGTTTTAGTGGTTTTGGTTTAGTTGTTAACAGCCTCAAGCAGGTCTTTGGAGAGGCAACATATACATTTTCCAAATAATTAAAGAAGTTGCCACATTGAATGTATTTTTTAAATTAGGTATAGATGAAGAAGAAATATGTTATGCTTACATTCTCTGATAGGAAACAACTTTCTTTTTCTCTTTTGTTGGGAATGCAAATGGTAAGCCATGGTTTATAAAAGCAAGACCACAAAATGGTTCATGGCATCCTTGCCAGAGATATCTGTCTCTTTTTGCTATAAAATTCTGTTATTGTTGTCATGACGGTTTTATCGGAAATGTTTGCAAAGCCCTCCTCATCAGAAACAGGATTACAAAAGCTTGCAGTTAAAAGATGGCAACACATGATTATACTGAGAAACTTAGGTTCAAATCCCCCATCACTCTGTCTCAACCCAACCTACTTCCGAGGCATGCTGTTAGGAGAAAGTGGGATCATGTACACCAGCCTGAGCTCCTTGGAGAAACTTTAAAACTGTATTAACAGTTAACAGAATAGATTGCATGACAGACATTGGGATGATTTATAGCATTTGGTTAAATGAGTGAACTGAGAAGTACTCAGTTGAAATGTCCTTTTGAGTTTCCATTTTAGCCCCACTCCCTCCATAATTGTACTGAAATATAAAAGAGACTAGAAATAAGGCCCGTTGTGGAAATAAATACAACGAGATCTAGAAAGAGGCTCTGGGAGAGTGCTCTGGCTTTGGGCAAACAGTGTCAGTTTCCTGTGGCAACCTCAGCAGGGTATAATGACAGAGTGCACTGTTTTCTCCAGAGGGACTGATCTGTGCTACCTGAAGAGCATTTGTATTTTTGAGTTATCTGTAGCCCTCACCTGGAGAGTGGTAACAATTGTTACCCAGGCTCCACCCCTCAAATCTCCAGGGATTTCCATAGGTAAAGGTGGCAATGCACCAAACAGAGGGGGACAGAGAGGGGGGAAGAAGGTAAGAAGGGGGTTGGAGGGAGGGCTGCAGAAGCATATGCCAGCTTGTCTTGGTGTGCAGGCTGGAGAAGGGAG